TTTAGCGAACTTATCTTGGCGAGAAGCCTACGCCTCAGATGAAAAGTCGGTCTATCGATTTATCGATTTGGCGTTGGCGTAAAAAGCACTGCGCAATTCCCTCCGAAATGACGTGACATACATTTGATCTGCTTCTTTTTTGCCTCTTTTATATCTGTCGATGGACTCCAGGAAGAGTTCGAAGGGCCAGATGAATAAAGCCGATATCTTATATTGAGGGGTTTGTCCTATGTTAATAAATAAATTAGATTAAATATACTTAATAATGCATTACTCAACTAAGACAAAGTTTCACGAAAAAAATTTCCCTGGTACACATTTGAAAATCGCAAAAACAGCGAGATTTGTTGGATCGTTTTAATGTTGCGAAAATTCCCATCAGAGAATTCAGAAGAATATCTGGCGAACATACGTAGCTTTTGATAAATCCTTCTCGGGTAGGGGGTAATAAGTAACATGTTTCTAATTATGTTCATCACTACAGGCTAATTAGTCATGGGGATAGGGGAGGGGGTGGGGTCAATAGTAATCAGCTGGTTGCGAGCTTATGAGGGGTTGCTGGGCCCGGATAGGGGATGGGGAAGGGGGGTTGAAGGGTTAAAGCAACAACAGCTCTATCCTTGCCCACATGGTTGACTCCGTGTGTCTCGCCAAACTCCCCAAAATCCCTGGGTCAGCGTTTACTAGCCACAACAGAAACAACCGCGATCCGGTCGAGGAAGCAGGTTCTGTGCGGGCAAAAGAATTTCCAGCAAACCCCGAGCTTGGCATGGCCACCTGCATATTTCCGCGCTTTCTCCCCCTTTAAGCCTCTCTCTCATCCCCTGTCCGGACTCAACAAACCCTCATCAACTCGCGACCAGCTGATTACTATCAACCCCACCCCCTCTTTTACCCCCATGACCAATTTGCCTGTAATAAGTAACATAATTACAATCGTGCTACTTTTTACCCCCTTCCTATATAAAGGTAATGGCCTGAGGAGAATATATCGAAAGCTACGTATGCTCACCAGATATTCTTCTTCATTTATTGGATCCATATATAGCAGAATGTAATGAAACCATACATTTCACGAGAGCTCATCAGCTGCGTCCTCCCGCTGCATA